TGGGCACCTGTACTATACCTATAATCCTAGTTATACAAGAAACTAACATCTGAAGATTGAGATCCAAAGCCAGCCTGGGAAGACAAACCCTGGAGACTTTTATCTCCAATTAACCAGGAAAAAAGCTGGAGCTGGAGACATGGCTCCAGTCTAATTAAGAAGGCTCCACAGGATATGATAAGGACGTCTGCACATCCGTGTTAATTGCCACATTATTTACAATAATAGCCAAGATATGGAAACAGCCCAGATACCCCACAATAAATGAGTGGATCCAAAAAATATGGTACCTATACACAATGGGATTTTACACAACTATTAGAAAGAATAAAATAATGTCATTTGCCAGGAAATGAATGGATAGAACAAATCATGTTAAGTGAAGCAAGTCAAGTTCAGAGAGACAAACAGCGCATGTTCTTGCTGATATGTGGAAGTTAGATCTAAAACACATTGGGATATGACAAATTATACAGGATTCTAGATACTCCAAAACAGTGAGACCAAAAGAGGTTACTCTTAGGAGAGAAATGCAGGAGTGCAATGCCTAAGTGCCTCTCCATATTTATATAAAATAACACTCATCCTGAAAGGAATCCCAAGAGACAAAGTTTTTAGTATTTCTTTCATGAGGGGGTCATGGAGCTTCAGCTCTGGGCCTGGGCACTCTCCCTGAGCTCTTCGGTTCAAGGCTGGCACTCTACCACTTGAACCACAGTGCCACTTCCAGTTATCTGGTGGTTAACTGGAGATAGATAGAAGTCTCTTGGATTTTTTCTGCCCAGGCTGGCTTTGAAGCATGATCCTCAGATCTCAGCCTCCTAAGTAGCTAGGATTACAGGTGTGAGCCACTGGTGCCTGGCAAAGTTTTTAGTTTTTGATAATTCTGTCTTCTTTACCTTATGTATGGCGTATTCACATGTATATCTTCAGGAGGGTAGAGAGCAGGCACAGAACTCAAGGGAAAAGTGTAGTAGTGAAGCTCACTGGACATTGATGAAAGTGAACTATACAACTTGTGGGTGGAGATGGGAGAGAGGGACTGGGAGAGAATGAGGGAACAGAAGACCCTGTGTGAAAGCAATGTACTCGTTACCTGACTCATGCAATTGTCATCCCTCTGTACATCACCTCTATAATAACAATAAATTAATAAAGAAAAGAAGGCTCCAAATTCAAACCCCATCACTGTCCCCCCCTCAAAGGGCCAATATACCTCTTTTATGCAGATCAAACAACTGAAAACCCCACTGAAAACCCCACTCTCCAACCACATACGCTGAAGAGAAAGCAGGACACTCAGCTCCACTTCTGGTTTTCTGGTGGTTAACTGGAGATGGTCTCACGGGCTTTCCTGCCTGGGTTGGCTTTGAATCGTGATCCTCAGATCTCATCCTCCTTAGTAGCTAGGATTACAGGCATGAGTCCCCAGAGCCTGGCTCATGAATATTTTTGACATACAAAAGATTACAGAGATATCAAAACATATGTAATCCATACATGGTTCAAACATGCCACTTGAAGCCCCATGTACTCATTCTAATAAATCATTCCCTCCTCATTCTAATAAATCAGGTGGGCTCTGATTCTTCTCCTTGAGAGTACACTGCAAAGTGCCATCCATCTGTACCACAGAAATCTATCAGGCATAGTGGCACCTTCTAAGTGCCATGTATTTGCTTCTGCCATTACATACACACTTCTCCTTTTCCTAAGTATCACCTCTACCTGGATTACAGTGATGACTTCCAAACTGAGCTCTGAACCCACACATCCCCTTTCCATCCAGCCTCCAACCTTCTTAAAACCTTTCTAGGTAGGTATGGTAATACAGCCCTACAATACCAGCACTCAGGAGGCTGAGGCAGGAAGACAGAATTTGAAAAGCAGCCTGGGCTACATAATGAGATCCTGTCTCCAAAAACTGAAACAAATAAACAACCCCCCCCCAGAAAAAACCACCCTTCCAAGAGTCCCTCTTTGCTCTTAGGATACAAAACTGCTTGCGTGGCATGCAAGATTTTCTGTAGCTTTGTCCCTATTCAGCATTCTAGTTCTCAGTCCCTTGTTCTCTATTTTGGGGACATTTGCCTTTCTTCTGCTCCTTATGTCCCTAAGCTTTGTCCCACCATGGATGATCTCTGCACAAGCTGTTCCTTCCTCCTCATCTGAACAACTCTCCACCGTTCCTCAGGTCAGCTTTCTCTGGGCTCTGCTGCTCATTTGTTGGCATGTGTCAGTTTCACAACCCCACATTTGTTTGAGATTAACTAACTTCCCTAATAGGGCAAGGACCAAGAACTACTAGTTTAGCACAAAGTACTTGAAAAGAGGCAAGAGTCAACACAGATATAATGTGCTGGACAGTGTTCCTCAAACTCAACATATATTGACTATGCAGAGGTTCCCAAAACATCCATGGGGTGCCATTATTAGTCCCATTTTACATGAGCAAAGTATCTCAGGCTAAGAAGGGATGAGCTGGGACCTTAACTCAGGTGTCAGTTTGGTTTTTTTTGTTTGTTTGCCAGTCCTGATGCTTGAACTCAGGGCCTGAGCCTTGTCCCTCAGTTTCTTTTGCCCAAGGCTAACATTCTACCATTTGAGCTACAGCACCACTTCTGGCTTTTTCTGTGTATGTGGTACTGAGGAATGGAACCCAGGGCTTCATGCATGCTCGGCAAGCACTCTACCACTAAATCACCTTTCCAGACCTCAGGTGGCAGTTTCTGGAGTCTGTATTCAATACTCCAACTATGGCACCTCATCAGCATCCACAGAATGCATGAATAGGCCCTTTGGTAAGGACTAAATAGCACCGCTGGTGATAACCTTAGTTCAACTGCCAATCAGTTCATTTTGGTGAAGGGTCTGATGTTTGATAAGTACTTTGCTGCAAACTTTCATCCTCCCATCATCTCATTTTTAGTTGCTTTTTTGTGTTCTGAGATTGTATTTTACTAAATGAAGACCAGCTTCCTGTCTCCCTACCTCAGCTTCCCAAGTGCAGGGATTACAGGTGTTTATGACCACGCCTGGCAGTTATTTCAGATACTTCAAAATGCAGCACCCCCTGATCCCTTCTGCAGCTTCCCTCCTGAACTTGATTTTGTCACAGACGACTCATTTTGACTGAATAAAAGTCCTGGTTGCAAAGTGAAAAGAAAAAAAAAAATCAATAGGATGCCAGTGGCTCATGCCTGTAATCCTAGATACTCGGGAGGCTGAGATCTGAGGATCATAGTTTGAAACCAGCCAAGGCAGGAAAGTCCATGACACTTACCACCAATTAATCACAAAAAGCCAGAAGTGGAGCACACCTGTCATCCCAGCCCCCAGGAGGCTAAGGCAGAATTGTAAAATTTGAGGGCAGACTGTAATACATATTAGGCCTCAAGCCAGCATGGAGTGTGCAGTGAGACTCTGTATTACTGTATCATCATGACTGGTGTTGAGTTAGGCAGAGGGAGTGGCCTGGTGAGGAGAAGGCTGGCAACTAATTGGGATCATTAGCAGTGTGGGTGATCTACAGAAATCCACTTCAAGGATTTTCAGGAATTTCATCTGTCTTGTCTTCATTGATTTGTTACATACTCAGGGCAGCTCTTCTAGAGTTAATAATGGGAAAGGCTGGGTTAGGGATCTGTTAAGCCACAAGAAATCAAAGTTACCATTCACTGTGAAGAATGGCGTCCCTATCTTCCTGCTTTGGAACTGCAGAAATCTCTAAACAACCAAGTTTTCCTCCTGAGAATCAAAGGGAGTTGGCCAAGCTTTCTCAATTCTTAGGGTGTCCTCCCAACAACAACAAAACCGAATTCCTCACGATTTCTTCAGTGTGGCTGGTGTAGGGCAATTATCTCACAAGTCACAAGCTATGGAGAAAATAGCAGCTACATTTAATTAACTGCATCAACACAGCAAAAATGTAACAATTCCGACAGTCCTTTTACGGGAGCTTACTTTGGGGGGGGGAGCTAAGAACCTTGATCATTCATTCCTGTACACACACTCTGGCTGGCTCAAGGTTATGAGTTCACAGAAGCACTCTAGAAGGTGAAACATTTCCGCAACAACGAGAAGCTGGAGCCTACGGGTGGGATCTAAGCTCCTGACTGCAGCTGGACCCGTCTCAAACCATACACAGAGCACTGAGGAGACTCCTTGGAGGGGAAGTTGTATGTAACGGCTATGGGCAGTATAGTACTTGATCTCAGTCCTGACCAAGTTACTAACGGGCTGTGTGACCTTGGACAAATTGCATACCCCCTCTGGGCTTCAGTTTTCACCGCCGCACGTCGGAAGTAGAAACACGTGGTCTTCAAAGGTCCTCCCCCAGCCTAGAGGCCGGTACCCATTAGATCTCACCATTACAGCAGTTTCCTGTGGGCGCAGCTCAAGACTGTAACGGTCCCCCTCCCCCGCCCGCCCCAGGACCGCGAAATCCTCACCGAACACGCCTCCGAATGACGGCGCAGGCCAGGCCAAACCCGGCTCCGCCCCTTCTCGGGGCGTCCCGTCGTGCCCCGCGCCGGGCTCCTCAAGCAGCAGGACGCCTCCCGCCTTTCCGCGCCCCGACCCCGAACTCCTCTCCTCAGTTCTCCCGGGCGTCCTAACCTATCAACGTCTAGTAAGCTCATCCAATCGGGAGGGCTCGGGATCTTGCCTTGCGCCCGCCCTCCTCTCAAGGATCAGCCGGTCTTAGCGCAAGGCCTTTACCAGGCCAACCCAATCAGCGGCCGGATCCCACCTGCCCCACCCCAATGTCCCGCCCCTCAGCCAATCCGTGCGTCCCATCCCTTTGACTGCCTAGCCAACCCGGGCCTTGAAAATCGCGGACGAATGAGAGCACGGCGGCCCTTCAACGCTCACTGCCCGGCCAATTGGGGATTCCGCGTGGCCACGGCGACAACCAATTACCGCGGAGCGCGGTGCCGCCTCGGCGAGGCCCGGCCCGGATATCCCTCCGCCTCCCTCCCTCTCCCACCCTGCGAGCCGCCCCTCACTTACTGCCTCCTTTCCTTCTTTCTCCCTCCGCCACCCGAGCACCAGCCGCGCTCCGCGCTGCCCCCGGGGTCCCTCCCCCGCCGCCAGAGGAACAGCCGCCGCCGCCGCCGCCGCCGCCAGCAGCACATTTAGGAGGCGGAAGGAAGGAGAAAGGGGAGGAAGGGGAACCCGAGCGCCTGCCCTGAGGGAGCCAGTGAATGGGCTTGTGGTGACCCCCGCCCCCCACCCCACCCTCCCTTCCCACCCGACCCCCAACCCCCATCCCCAGTTGGAGCCGCCGCCCGAGAGGCCGGGCCGTCGTCTTGGGAGGAGTCGCCGCCGCCGCCACCTCCGTCATGGAACTGATCACCATCCTCGAGAAGACCGTGTCTCCGGGTAGGACGCGGGGACCGGGGGTCGGGCTGAGGTGATTGGGGCGGGGGAGGGGAGCCCGGCCCCTCTGACCCCGGTCCCTCTCGCACTTTCCTTCCCCCCCTCCTAGACCGGCTGGAGCTGGAAGCAGCGCAGAAGTTCCTGGAGCGTGCGGCCGTAGAGAACCTGGTGCGTGCCACCCCGCCGCGCCCCATCCCGCCGCGTCCCCATCCCTGCGTGCGGGCCTTCCCGCCCTCCCGGAGGCCCAGGCCTCGGGAACCCACCCCGCCCCATCCCGTCCCCCTCCCCCCCCCAGCCCGATCCAACCTAACCCCGCCATCGGGAAGCCGGTGGGTGTGTCCCGCCCCGGGCTCCACGTTTGGCCAATGGCGCGGCGCGCCGGGGTGACCACCGTCCAATCGCCGCTCAGCCTGAGGGCGGCGGTGCAGCGGGAGGGAGAAAGAGGGAGGGAAGGGAAGTTAGGTTGCACGGCGCTGCGTGTTCAGCAAGGGTGGGGGCGGGGGAGCCGGGCCTAGGGGCCATGTGGAAGCTCCTGGCCCGGCAGCCCGCCCTGTACTGTCCAGTGTCGGTTTCTCTTTCCTGTCCCGTGGCCCCTGTGATTGTTTCCACCTACTTCTCAGATCTTTCCCCTGCTCCTCCATGTGTGCTCATGGCCAGGCCTGGCACCTGCCTTCCTCCAAATCTAAACCTCTAATTTTTTTTTCCCCCTTTCCTGCCTGGTTATTACTCTTCTGGAATGTGTGTGTGTATTATGTACGGATTTCGATGAATAAAGACCTAATCACTAGGGATCTGCACCCAGACAACAGACTGAAGCTCATCCTTGAGATCAGGCCTATTTCCTGATGAAATCACGATGGAGTTCCTTGTTTTTCATATTTCCAAATTTAAGGGGTACAGAAAAGGGAGAGATTAGATCCACTAGAGACCAGATTTTTGTGTAGAGAAATGTAAGATAGATTGAAACAGTTTGGTTTTAGGAATGTTTCCTGTTGGGGTGATGAAGAGCAGAAGGAAGGATAGATGAGTACTTGAACTCTTAAAGGTACTAAGTAGCAGTAACACTGTAACCAGATGTGTTCCTTTGTGATGTCTTTGCAAAATAACAAAAACAAAGTGACGGGATCTATTTTATGGTTTTTTAAATAATGTATACTAGTTTTTAATAGCCTTTTTTAATCTGTAACTTTTCCTTCAAAAAATTTCTGCTAGGATAGACTGATGGTTCCATTTAGAGTATGTTCTTGTTTCTGCTTTTGCTAATTTGCAAGGGCCTTTTGTTACTCCTGACATTCTTTAGCAGTACATGGCTAGTAAAACTTTTGGCATTGTCTCTGTGCTTGTAGGACTTGTTAATGGTAAGCAAATGTATCTGCTTTTGGCTTTTCTAACTTTCCTGTCTGGATGGAATCATTTCGGTAGGGGGAAGGGAATGGGTAGCTTAAAATTTTTAAGTAAAGTGGTTTCTGTACAAAAGGTTGTGTATGTGGAAAAGCTTTTGTGTATTACAAAAGATTGAGTTCAAAATGTATAGGAGCCTTTAGTGTTTTGTTGGCTATGCAATATAAAATCATTTTCCTTGAAAAAAAACTTGTCTGCTATTTTATCTTCATTTCCTCCTAGTTTCTGAACAGTTACCACTTTTCCTTATAAATGTACCTTTCCATTGTTCTTTTGTTGAACACACACCACTAATCTGTAAAAGCTTAGGTGATCAAAGTCTCATGCTTCCATTAGATCAGAAGCCATCCTGAGTAAAATTATTTTTGGACTAAATTTTAAAAGAAAAACATTTTTTTATACCTGTCTCATTCAACACATATTGAGTACTAGGCATTGTTGTAAGTACTTGGGAAACTTCATTATACATAGAATCTACTGACTACAAGGTTGTCAAACTTGCTTTAATTTTGGGTGTCTAGTGTGATGATTTGGGCACTGAGGAGGATCTTAGTAGGAAAACATCTTCATAGGTCCTGGGTTACAAGAGATGAACAGCTTCCCCATATAACAAGTAACATTTTGTATGAACTTTTTTTCTGTTTTTGTGCTGAAGTCTTGCTAGGTTGCCAGCGTGACCTCAGGCTCCAGGGTTCAAGCCATCTACTCACCTAAGTATCCTGACTACTAGGACTATATACATGTGTCTCCATATTAATCTTCGAGTTGATATTTTGCAGTTCTCCCAGATGTTCATGATGTGCTCTAAAAAGTTGTTTTCCTCTTGGCAGCCCACTTTCCTTGTGGAACTGTCCAGAGTGCTGGCAAATCCAGGAAACAGTCAGGTTGCCAGAGTTGCAGCTGGTCTACAAATCAAGAACTCTTTGACCTCGAAAGATCCAGATATTAAGGCACAATATCAGCAAAGGTGGCTTGCTATTGATGCTAATGCTCGACGAGAAGTCAAAAACTATGTAAGTAACTTTCTTTTGGTCATGATGCCTGTGAGATTAAAGAGAAGTTTGTCATTTGTCTTCCACAGGGAGAGATCTTGGTAGTGAAATAGGCTTTTGGAACCTGAACTTAGCCTAAAGGTAAAAAAGATACTTGATTTGAAATCTGTCAATTCAGTTTACCCATTGATGGATCAAAATTCTTTTTCTGATAACTGAGGTAACCTGCAGCAGTTTCGAAAAGAAACTTTTGTTGGATCTATTTTGAGTATTATACAATTGGTACTGAATAGCCAAACTACCTAGCGAACAACATACTTCAAGAGGTGAAGGTTTTGGGCTAGAAAGGTAGCTCAGTGGTAGAGCACTTGCCTTGCATGCATGAGGCCCTGTATTCGATTCCTCAGCACCACATAAGCAGGAAAAAAAAAGCTGGAAGTGGTGCTGTGGCTCAAGTGGTAGAGTGCTAGCTTGGGCTGAAGAGCTGAGGGACAGCGCCCAGGCCCAGAGTTCAGGCCCCACAACCAGATCCCCCCCCCCCAAAAAAAAAAGAGGTGAAGGTTTGCTGCACACCAATAGCTCACATGTGTTTTCCTAGCTACTCAGGAGGCTAAGATCTGAGCATCATGGTTCAAAGCAGGTCCAGACAAGAAAGTCCATGAGACTTAGCTCCAGTTAACCATCAGACAACTGGAAGTGGTATTGTGGCTCAAAGTGGTAGAGTGCTAGCCTTAGTGAAAAAACTTGGAAAGCACCCAGGCCCTGAGTTCAAGCCTCATGACTGACCAAAAACAAATTAAAAAAAAAAAAACAGGAAAAACACAGGCGAAGGGTTTAAGCTCACTTGTCTAACATGTGCCTAATGTGTAAAGCATCTATGAGGGTAAAATATGTTTTCAAGTGCTCTGGAAATTCTGTCTTGAAAGCTCTAGAGTAAGGCTCGGTGTTTTTTTGTTTGGGCCAGTACTAGGAGTTTCTACCAAAGGCTTCATGAGATAGGCACTGTATTATTGGGCCATGTCTCCAGCCAAGTTTTTCACTGATTATTTTTAGAATTGGATCTTACTTTCTGGATAGGCACAGGCCTGAGCTGTCACCTACTTTGGGCTTCACACACTTTGCCACTGCAGTTCTCCCAATCTTGGGCTTCCATGTAGCTTGTAATAGATGTATGCCATTGTGTCCAACCATGGGTTGAAAAGGAGGACCTTCCTGTGAACCTTGATTCTCTTATTCTCAGCCTCCCAAGTAGCTAAGATTACAGATAGTTCATGTTGTGGATGGTTTTGATGGTTCTGTTTTTTATTTTGTTTTTTTGTGCCAATATGGGGGCTTCAACTCAAGGCCTTGTATCTTTGCTTGGCTTTTTTTCCTAAAAGCTAATGTTCTACCACGTGAGCCATACCTCCACTTCCTTGTAGATAGGACTTAACGCACAGTTACACAAAGTCCAAAAATTAAGTGATGTTTTGCTTCTTTATTTATTTAATAAATAATGAAAAACATTCTTTACAAATACCTGACTTTGGGGCTGGGAAGATGGCTGAGTGGTAGAGTGCTTGCCTCGCATACATGAGGCCCTGGATTCCATTCCTCAGCACCACTTACCCAGAAAAAGCTGTAAGTGGCACTGTGGCTCAAGTGGTAAGAGTGCTGGCCTTGAGCTGAGGGACAGCGCCCAGAACCAGAGTTCAGGCCCCACAACCTTCCAAAAAAGAAAGAAAGAAATACCTGACTTTTTCCAAGGTGTTTGGAACATGAGGTGATGTTTTGGAGAAAATGTTTTACCTCATGTCATTCTTGTGACTTGTTAAATTACAAATCCATAATTAATGACTAATCCATAATTCTAGTTGAAGCAAATGATTCAAAATATTACATAGACAAGTTTACGTTTTTGTTTTTAATTAATGAAGTTCATTACTGCCCTGTATAACAAGGGTATGGCTCAGGATGGGAAGTAAATATCTGTACAGTCATAATCTTTCCTAGGTTTTATAATGCTACACATCAATCATTTGTTGTTTCCTGGTTCTAGGTATTAGCTTTAGGTAGTGGCCCTTAAAGCAAATGCTTATCTTCCTTCTGTGTATTTCTTTTCCTAGTTGTACTTTGAGGTGCCCATAACAAGAAATTAAAGTTAAAAAAAAATCCATCCTCGTGGCTGGGATGGTGGTTTAGTGGTAGAGTGCTTGCCTTGCATGAATGAGGCCCTCAGTTCGATTCCTCAGCACCACATAAGCAGAAAAAGCTGGAGGTGGGGCTGAGGCTCAAGTGATAGAGTGCTAGTCTACAGCTGAAGAGCTGAGGGACAGCGCCCAGGCCCAGAGTTCAGGCCCCATGACCAACAACAACAAAAAAAATCCATCAAATCTTGTTTGGAGTATGTATAGCTGTTTCCACATTAGATCTATTTATGTGATGATTTTTTAGCTTTCTCCCCTCAGCTCTTTGGCATAAATGAAGTGTATGCCAACCCTGGAAATCTTTTTTTCTTTTTTGTCAGTTGTGGGACTTAAACTCAGGACCTGGGCACTGTCTCTGAGCTTTTTTGCTCAAGGCTAGTGTTCTATCACTTTGAACCACAGGATCACTTCCAGTTTTCAGGTGGTTAATTGGAGATAGTCTCACTGACTTTCCTACCTGGGCTGGCTTTAAACCATGATCCTCAGATTTCAGCCTCCTGAGTAGCTAGGATTAGGTGGTAGTCACCAGCACCCAGCCATGGCACATCTCTCTTAACATGGGTGTGATTGAGTATATATGAAAATAATTACCATGAGTCAAGCCTTGTGGCACACACTTGTCATCCTAGTTTACTTGAGGAGGCTGAGGCAGAAGGATCACTTGACCTGACCTTTAGGAGTTCATGACCAGTCTAGGCAATACAGTAATGCCTCACTAAGTTGGCAGTTAACCTTGATCTTTCCTTTCCTACGAAATTCATACAGTGCTGGTAGTTGTGTTTTAAAAATCCAGATAGGTTTTTGTTGGTTGGTTGGTTGGTTGCAGGGCCTGAACTCTGGGCCTGGGTGCTGTCCCTCAGCTCTTCAGCTCAAGGCTGAAGAGGCAACCATGTGAGCTATAGCGCCACTTCGAGCTTTTTCTGCTTATTTGATACTGAGAAATAGAACCCAGGGCTTCATGCATGCAAAAGCACTCTGCCACTGAGCCACCTTCCCAGCCCCTAAAACTCCAGATATTATTGAGACGCAATTGAGCAAGCTTTTTTTTTTTTCTCTTTGAACAGGGACTTGATCTCAGAGCCTGAAGTCCTTGCTTGGCACTTTTGATCAAGGCTGGCTGGCACTCTGTCACTCTAACCACATACACACACACCATTTCCATTCAGGTTTTTCAGGCAGTTGGGGAGCCTCAGATTTATCTCTCTGGGCTTGCTTTGAACCATAATCCTCACGTCTCAGCCTCCTGAGTAGCTAGAATTACATATGTGAGCTACCAGTGCCCAGCCCTCCAAGTAGTTGGGACTAAGGACAAATAGGGATGGGGAAAGTTTGGTGCAAGGTGCTAAGTTATTGCTAAGTGGCAATAACATTGGAGTCCTATTATACAGTGGGATAATTATACCAGAAGAGCAGGGATGAATATAGCTCATGCATGGGCAGAAAAGTCTGCGACTCTACCAGCAAAAAACCAGAAGTGGAGTTGTGGCTGAAATGGTAGAATGCTAGAATTGAGCACAAAAGCTCAGGGACATCCAGCCCTGAGTTCAAGGCCCAGGACCACCATACGCTAAAAAAAGCTAGAAAAAGATTGAGTGTTTCACTAGAGAAATGATAAATGCTTCACTACAGAGATGCTTACCTCTGTTTGAACTTCATACAGTGCACACATGTATTGCAGCATCACGTGGTACCTCATAAGTAAATACAGTTTTTACTTGTCAGATAAATTTTCAGATTCAATCTGCCTGATTCTCTGAAAGGCATTATGGACTAGAACTTTAATTATATTTGTGCTAATATCCAGCCTGTGACATTTTGAAGAATTTGGCACTTTTTTTCCCTTCACTACCTTCCTATCTTTGACATAGTTTTTATTCACAAAGAACTGTTGGTTATTAGGTGGAGCTGTCTAGGTGGGCCGAGACAGATGAAGGAATACAGAATAAGAGAAATCCCAGAACTGCAAAAAAAAAAAAAAAAGTGGTGGGGGGAGGTTCATTATTAGCTAATAGCTACAAAGCAGACGACTAAGTGACCTGACCCAGTCAGCAGAGCTGGCCTGAATGTCTGACAGCTATTCTTTGTCCTGTGCTCATGCCAGGAACAGTTAACTGTTTGCCTTTGATGGGACTAGTGATTCTTAGTGAGTTCATGGACTAAATTAGCTGATCATGGTAATGGTTAACTCTGAGTCAGTTGTGGCTTCATACTTTATCTGAATTTGCACCTTCACAAAGCTCTTAAATAAATGCTTTTGTGGTTACCATTTTCGAGATGTGCCTAATGACAAATGGATCTCCAGTTGGCATGTGACTACCACTTCTGTTGGTGTTAGAGACCAGTTCTTTGGTTCTTAAACAAATAGAAAATAGAATGAATTCTTTTTTTGGGGTTGGTCCTGGAGCCTGAACTCTGGGCCTGGGCACTGTCGCTCTACCATTTGAGCCACAGCACCACTTTCAGCTTTTTTTTTTTTTATGTGGTGCTGAGGAATTGAACCCAGGGCCTCATATATGTGAGGCGAGCACTCTACCACTAGCCACCTTCCCAGCCCCTAGAATGAATTCTTTCAGACTAGAAGTTAAATAAAGCTTAGCTCTTAGTTTTTTGTAGTATGAGTAGCTATTCCTTTAGTATCACTGCTTGAGTAAGGCCTTTCCGTGTTACGGTTTGTGACCAGAAAGTAGGTTTGTTTCTCATGCCACTATGAACCAGGATAGAGAGTGACGTATTGTGCATCAGGCCCATTGAGTGCCCTAGTCACAGCCTTAGTGCCCACAAAACAATCCACCAAGGAGCCTGGAAGATGAATTTTGTCGTTTTCCCCCCACCCCCTCCTAGTTTCTTACTTATATGACTGTTGATATGGGGTGTTTTTAGACAGTTCCAGTTGGTGGTAAGGGATGGTTTGCCTCTGTTGAGAATGCTTATTGCTGGTACTGTAGTTGGCTTTGTGTGGGGTAGGGAGAACAGAAATCAGGCACTGGTGTTAGTGCTACAAGTTGATGTTTTGTCCCATTTTTCCCTCAGGTTTTGCAGACTTTGGGCACAGAAACTTACCGGCCTAGCTCTGCCTCCCAGTGTGTGGCTGGTATTGCTTGTGCAGAAATACCAGTAAACCAGTGGCCAGAACTCATTCCTCAACTAGTGGCTAATGTTACAAACCCCAATAGCACAGAACACATGAAAGAGTCAACATTGGAAGCTATCGGTTACATCTGCCAAGATATAGTAAGTGCTTGCCTGATGTTTCTAATCTGTATACTTTCTCACTCCTTCTAGTTATGACATGTATAACAGAATTTCTGTCAAGCCGGGCGCTGGTGGCTCATGCCTGTAATCCTAGCTACTCAGGAGGCTGAGATCGGAGGATCACGGTTCAGAGCCAACCCGGGCAGGAAACTCCATGAGATTCTTTATCTCTAATAAACCACTGGAAAACCGGAAGTGGAATGTGGCTCAAGTGGTAGAGCGCTTGCCTTGAGCTGAAGAGCTGAGGGATAGCGCCCAAGCCCAGAGTTCAAGCCCCATGACCGACCCAAAAAAAACAAACATTTCTTTGTCAAATCAAGAAGAAAAATGAAAAACAGGCTGCTTCAGTGTTTTGAAGATAATAACTTTTGTTTGTTAATTTAGACCTCATCAAATTACAAATAATACTGTGAAGAAAAGGAAGTTAATAATGAAAAATTAAAGCTACTCAGGAGGCTGAGATCTGAGGATCCCTGTTTAAAGCCAACTGGAGCAGAACAGATTCCTGTTTCCAATTAACCACTAAGAAGCCAAAAGTGGAGCCTGTGGTTCAAGTAGTATAGTGCTAATCTTGAACAGAAAAAGCTCAGGGGCAGTGCCCAGATCATAAGGACTGGCACCAAAAAAAAAAAACTTGTGGCTGGGGCCAAGTGCCCATTGCTCACTTTTGTAAGCTCCTCAGGAGGTTGAGATCTGAGAATTGCTATTCAAAGCCAGCTCAGGCAGGAAAGAGGAAAGTCTGTTAGACTTTTCCAATTAACTACAAGCTGCTTTCCAATTAACTACAAGCTGGAAGTGGTGCTGTGGCTCAAGTGGTAGAGTTCTATCCTTAAGCACAACAGTTCAGAGACAGTACCCAGACCCAGAGTTCAAGCCTCAGGATCTGGGCAAGTGGGCGGGGGGGGG